TGAACAAATGAGTTTATTATACATCAACGAATACGCGTTTGTTGAGGGGGAGAGGTAGCTCATCGATTCTTCCGGTTCGCCTCCTAGCATCGTGCTATAAGGTACCAGGCGATAACCAGGGTAGTTGATCGATAGCTCGATGACGTCATTTCGTTGACGTCTGCAATGGGAAATTCTCATAGCAGGCGTTGACGATGGGACGTTGTCGAGTTGTTGAATGGCAACTATCGTGGTAACTCACCGATTACCTGTCGATCTGCCAAATTTGGAAAGACGTCTGCATTGAATTGTCTCATATAATAATATTCCGCCCACTATATCACAAGAAATTGCGAGTAGCTGAGTGGAATGGAGATAAGTTAAGCATTGGGTACAGGACCAAGTCTCCCCTGGGTGGTGCCAGAAGATGAGCGCAATAGAATCATCAAGTTGCCATAAGGCACGGAATGAGACTATTGCATGGCTGGGTACTCAAAGTCTTCTATTCGTTAGTCATTTCAGGTGGATTAGAACAGGTGTAGGTGGGCGTTGGCCAGATTTGGATTTTTCAGATGTAATCCTGGATAGGACCCTGTCATTGAACGTCGCGTGAAAGTGGAACTTAATGAAGGCCTAAGTACTTTTTCGTGGTTTTTAGTTTTCGGATTTGAAAGATCGTCGGTTACAGTGGCCTGCTTACTGAGCAGAAAAACGCGGTCCCAGGTCCTTACATATCAAAGAGATTTATGGTAAAATCGCTTGTGTATCGTGTATTTTGCGAAACTCGTTGTTGTCGTTGGTTCCGGGTTTGAATGGATACACAAATTTGAGCAATGGTATTATGGATATGAGGGGCTCGGTGGCCTTAGAGCAACCGTTTTTGCTTACTGAGCAGAACATCATGAGTCTAATCTCAGGCCCATCCACATTCAAGATTCGTCAATCGTTTTATTTGTTAATATGACTACATGGTAATAACAGCAAACTCGGTGATTGAAAAGGTACTCGTCTGCCTAGTGGCAAACGTTTTTGCTTACTGAGCAGAAGACCGTGGGTTTAGTCCCAAGCTCCTTCGCGTTATATGATCGTTAGGGCATCAATTCAGCTTATCGTTTACCAAAACGAATTCTGCTGCAAACCCAACCCTCTTATCCAACATCCCATTGATTCCTCGTGGAAGTGCAGAGGTGTTCTCGGCTTCCATCAAAGCGAGTGTCATGTCAACACAATCCTTCCCATTCCTTTCTTGACCTGTGTTCGGGCGCGGCCGGCGCTGGTATTGCCTAATTTAAGATCACCAGTTTTTACACATTGAGGATGATTGCTAGTCCCAAGCATCGTCTATTGGTTCTCTGTGTAATTACAGCTGATCTGGCAGTAACAGAGTAGCAACCGTGGGCGGTCAATCAAGCTCAAGCTCAAGCAAGCTCATCAACGAATACGCGTTTGTTGATATTCACCAGTGCTCGATTATCAAACCCAAAATTGTCAAAATCAGAAGTGATCCTCAAAAGCAAAATAATCAACGACATTTTGGGCAAAATGATTATTTTGAATATTGTCGACCACACTGCCTAAATCATCGATATTATCATCAGTTCAGCTTGAGGCAATAATTTGCCGTCGACTTATGTCTAAAAACCACGTTCTTCAGCGCTATATTTGTTTAAAATGAAAATAATCATTTTGCATTTGATCCTCAATATCATCCCCACCAAGATGAAGACGAATATCAATATTTACAACAACAGAGGCAATAATGAGAATCCAGCCACGAATGAAGAAAAACAAATGTTATTTTTGATACTCAGAGGTTGCCTAGACCTAGGGAATTTCTTTAAATCAAAATTCAAATTCATGCAGGTAGTTGGTCTATCTGTTAAGGTTTTCTTCATTTTCAGCTAAATTGAGTGTAGAAGAAAGGATTTTTATCAGCACTGAACATGATGCCTCGCCAGTTGTCGCACACAGTAAGATTCCCCTTTCTATAAACCTTCACTAAGACGCCCTGCATCCATTCAGCCGGAAAAGTTACGGTGTCCCATATATTACAGAATAGTTGATGCGACATTTGAGAGGATAGCATAGAAGGTTACAGTTATGAACGAAAAGTTTGGTTTTCCCATAGTAATTTCCATATCGACTTTAAACGGTTTGTGCCAAGTCAGCTTCTTACCAAATGATTTCAAATTTTGGGAGGCTTATCAGAACCTGATTGGGAACAGTTTCATCACTGAGGAGCAATAATTTCAAATTTAGCTTCAGTCTAGTGGCCATCTGTTTATAATAGCCCAAAATCTCTCTATCGGTCTGAGCTGGGGACAATTTGGTGGGTTGAGTTCTTTCGGAATAAACTGAATCCCGTTGATTTCACATCACTGTAGCACAGTTTTACTGTAATAACAGCTCGCAAGATTTGGCCAAAACATGACAGGTTGCTGTGGGATCGGATGAATGCCAATAGTCGGTTTTGGAAACATTCCGTCCTGTAAAGCTCTGAATTTAATGTCTTACACGTGATGAAAACTATTGTCTTCCTACCGCAGCTACAGATGCCCTGCCATATAATGTATTTGCGTGCAAATTTATCTGCAAACACAAACTTGAATCCGGCAGGAACATCTCCTCGAGCCGTAGCCAAGTAAAATGTGTATCCCGGTAGCTGTTTGAAATCGTCCTTCACGTAGGTTTCATCATCGATGCGGCGACTGCCCTTGAATTTGGTCAACACCTGATCATACAGCTTTCTGGCACGGATTCTGGCCACATTTTTCGGCTTTTGATCCCTATTTGGTTGTCTGCAGGTACGGTACGGTTCCCGGAGACGAATCCTTTGCACGGTACTGCGTGCGGCACCGAACTTTCAGTCCAAATCGCGATCCGGGATGTTTGGGTTAGACTTAATGGTCTTGGTGACATTATTCCACAGTTGAAGCACCGACGAACTGACGTGCCAGCTCATAGAACCTACATTCAAATTCTTCTAAACACTACCGCCATCTACTCATCCGATTGCGTCATATCGTGAGAAGGACACGCACACACGTAAAATTTATATTGACTTGGTTTGCGTCTCGCCTCGTTTGACAGATCTGATCGCCCGTTTGACGAATCGAATCGCTCATTTGACAAATCTAATTGTTGACAAACGAAATGCTCCAGTGGCCTGTCGATTCATCGGTGGTTGAAGGTTGACAGTACCTGCCCGACGCTTGCTCTATGGCTTGCGATCCATCGAAATAGTTTCTCTGTAGTTTTTCAGTACACGCTACACGGTATTTGTGGGAAAACCTAACACTTTTGCAAGCTTAGGTCCAGACCACAAAGAGTTTTCCAAATGACTGCACACAATGGATCAATGCAAATGCTGAGGTTTTGACAGAACTATGCTGTGGCTACCACAGTATTTTATATTTGATCGTCAATATACAGTAGCGCCAAAACCATGCTGTGGTGGGTTCAAAACTAGACCATCTAAATTGATCATCTATAGAATATATTTTCGATCTTCCTTCTTCCAGGTTGTATTTCTGTGAAGCACGTTTGAACTGTGCTTCGAAAAAATGTTTCTGATGTTGTTATTGTTATAGTGAAATCCAACCAGCCGCCCGTGTCACTGTTGTCGTAGCGGTGATAACAAATGTAAACCGCTGTCAAACGCGATTCGCATCACAATTTTCACTTTTGAAATTGAAAATTTGCCTTTTCCTAACGGTGATTATAAAGTTTATCAAATTATAGGAAAAATGGGTAGTGGCTTCAATAATTTAATTGCTTTCAATCAGGAAAAAAAAAGTTAATTTTAAGATAACGTAACCGCAAACTCCACCACTAAACATTTTCTTTGTTGTTGCAGGATCGTTATCCACGAGTTCAACGAGGACAAATTTCCACTTTTTCGGGTTCTGAACTCGGGGAGCAACAAATTTGCATAGTAGAGAAAGGTTGCCACTGTTTACGGAACAGGGACAGAGCGGATATCCTCCCATTATTTTGTTGAAGCAGACTTTTTAGAATATAAGTCCCAAAGTTTGTTGTCGTGGGGGTAATTTGGGATTAATTTCATGTGGACGCTCCCCGGGATGGAGCGCAAATCCATTCCTCTCAATTCTTGCTTTGCTGCTGATCTATCCAGCAGACTGACTAGGACGTCGATTTCGGGATGGGAATCTGCAATCATACAAAACATAACCTAAATAATATCGGTGCATCAAAAACACAGTTTCATTATCTTGAAATTGCAATGAAAATTAACATAACATTACATTATTCGACAAATTTCCTACATGTATCATCCATAATAATGATCGTATCTGACTATTTTGAACTTTTTTTTTTCTATAATGTAACATTCAAACTTCTGTCATAAATTTATCACCATCGACTAGTACTATTTCCCGCCACTAGTGGTGCATAAATTTCACACATAGACGTCAAAAGCTTTCGAATCCGACCACAAGGGTCGCTGTAAGAATCAAACATGTTTGATCCTATTCTAAATGGGCCACACATTATAAAGTGAAATTCAAATTTAATTGGTTGTTCGACTGGTAAGAAGAAATTTCTTTTTTATCAGTCAGTCAGTCAGTTGACAATTTATAACTGATCATTTGGATTACCCTAGACTGAGAAAGCCATGAAAAAGAAATCTGAAATTCAAAGACACCGGACAAAAAACATTTTTTTCTCATATCTTTTCAAGAAGCTTAAACATTTTGGAGAACTGTGATCAAGGTATTCCTCTGGATTCAATCAGATGTTAATCCTTTGTGTTTCAATCAGTGTTTGCAAATGATTCTTGGTCCAAAACATTGGTTGACGTAATAAAATATAGAAAACTACAGCGATCGAATTTGCCTATATTTTCTACTGATTATCGCTGAAAACCGTAACAATAAACAACAATGCAAAAGATTTAATGAATATAACGTACCTGCTCATAGCATATAAGATGAACTCATAGTATTTGTATTCGATAGTCCCAAACTCTCACCAGCGCCATTTCCACTTCCCCTTTGCAGGCCGTTTCGAACAACATGCAAGTTCGCTGCAAGTGCCACGGCATGTCCGGCAGTTGCCAGTTGAAAACTTGCTGGAAGTCGGCCCCGGACTTCCGCGTCGTCGGCAAGGTCCTCAAGCAGCAGTATCGGCGGGCGGTGCTCGTCGATCAGTCCAACCTGGGCAACGGTCCACCGATGATCGTCTACCACAAACCAAAGAAGCGGAAACACGTGAAGAACGTCCGTCCACCGCGACGTACCAAGGACAAGCAGGGACAACAGCAACGACAGTTGCTTCCGATCAGTCGCGCCAACCGCAAAATGGAAAACGCCCTGTTCTACTACCAAAGATCGCCCAACTTTTGCGAACGGGATCAGGTGTCCGATATACCGGGTAAGCACGCAACCGGTCGTTCCAGTTAAGTTCTCAAATCTAATCACAACTTAATCTCACCCTCCCTAGGAACCGTGGGTCGCCGGTGCAATCGAACCAGCTCCGGCAGCGATGGGTGCGCATCGATGTGCTGCGGTCGGGGCTACAATCTGATCCGTGAGAAGCGGGTGGACCGATGCAACTGCAAATTCCACTGGTGCTGCTACGTCGAGTGCGACGATTGCGAAATCGAAGAATGGATTAGTGTTTGCAACTGAGAAACGACCCGGTGGGACTGCGGCATTTCGTGCGTGCGAATGCGACAAACAGCTTCAGTTATCAAGTTGCGAAATAATTGCTGGAATAGATATGAACCGATATCGAATGAAGTGAGGAAAAAATAGACTCTAATTGCACCGGCGTGCGTCGAATGTCGAAGATCGAGGATTTGAAAGTGATCGGTTCAAAGAAGGATAAAAGTGATTGTACGTTGGATCGTGTGGCGCAAGTCAAACTGTACCGCAGCAGATTGGAAAGCATTTGCTGTGACACTAATTAATGTTTGAATAAAATATTTCAAACAAGCACAAACATAAAAATAAAAAATAAACCGAACCATGTGTTCTATCGAACAGTATTAAACGCGCGTAGAATGAGGGGACAGATTAATTGAAATCCAACCAACTAAATAGAAACTAATCGTGTAGCTAATCGTAATTATTGTACATTTATTAGTGAAACCGTATCGTATTTAACTGACCTCTTATTTAAGTTAATTAGTTTTATTTATTCGTTCTGCCTGTACCTGTACATACATAGCTACATATAAATATGCGAATCGCGATCTAGGCTTAGGTGGACAGTGTTTTAGCATACATGGTGACTGGAGTGGTGGTAAGGTGAGTGGCCACACTTTATTCATTTAAATCATGACAAACAATAATGTTACGTAAATGGTGGCTATACATTTATTGAATGGCCTGTAATTGTAAACAACGGTAGATGAATAGAGGCAAAGGTGAAATGATGCATGAAATAAAATTACGAAATAGGGATGAGTTCAGAGCAATCTCAGGATAACGTTTAATTTTTCAGGAAAGAAATTCAAAGAGCTTTTCTAAGTTCTTGATGACATACTTTTTCAAGGGACTTGAAGCAAATTGTAATCTCTTGTTTATCATGAAAGCACAATATGTGTTCAGTACAAGAAAACCAATGTTACTGTAACCAATAACAACTACACTCAAGATATACAATTGAAGTTGGGAACGTAATAAACAGTTGCACTTATAAGTTAACAGATACTGCCGAATTATGGCTTTTTGCACCGTACCTAGATAATGTGGAGGTTGACGCCAAAATCGAACCACTTTTATCGAACCCTTCAACGAAACCCGTGGGTGAAACTAACGGCTTTACATCCCTTTCGAAGGAAGACGTAAGCAGACAATCCGAACTCGTAAGACTTTATATTTGTTATAGTCACTTTACTCTTGGGTCATTCGTGACTTGTCCGGGGGTGAGATTTGAACTCATGACTTTGGCGTGGTAAGCATCCATACCTCTCACGCCAAAGTCATGAGTTCAAACCTCACCCCCGGACAAGTCACGAATGACTTCTTCTTCTTATTCGCATTTCAAGCTAATTGCTTAGTGCATATTAGCTTATTGCGTGCTCTCAACTTAGTGTTCTAAATGCACTCCACAGTTTTTAATTGAGAGCTTTCGATGCCAATACCAATGCATAAATTTGTATATTTTTTGGCAAGCACAATGATACTTTATGCCCAGGGAAGTCGAGAAAATTTCCAACCCGAAAGATTCCCTCGACCGGACCGGGAATTGAACCCGAAAGTCACGAATGACCCGAAAGCTTTAAAGTGACTATAAAAAAAATATAAAGTCTTACGAGTTGGGATTGTCTGCTTACGTCTTCCTTTGAAAGGGATATAAAGCCGTTGGTTTCACCCACGGGTTTTGTTGAAGGGTTCGATAAAACTGGTTCGATTTTATAGCTAGGTACGGTGCAAAAAGCCATAATTCGGCAGTATGTGTTAACTTATAAGTGCAAGTGTTTATTACGTTCCCAACTTCAGTTGTATATCTTGAGTCACCAGGGTCACCCCGACTTTATAACAGAATACGCCGTGTGGTAGGGTTAAGATCTCTCTTTTTCGAACGAATTTTTACACAAATTGAAATGTTTATACTACAGATTATTTCTAAATTTATTCACCTTAATGTATCGTTGCAATTGATAATGAGTCACACATTCTGAATCTTGATGAATGTGGTCATCTTAATGGAATAACTGTATAAAGAAAAGAGAGAAGGATTCGTAATTTTCATTTAATTCCACTACACTAATTACTTATGCTTGACAGAAACCCAAATTTCGTCTACAATATCTTCTTCTTCTTATTCTTATTCTTCTTCTTCTTCTTCTTATTCGTCTTCTCCTTCTTCTTCTTATTCTTATTATTATTATTCTTCTTCTTCTTCTTTTTCTTCTTCTTCTTCTTCCTCGCATTTCAAGCTTATTGCTTATCGTATATTAGCTTATTGCGTGCTCTCAACTTAGTGTTCTAGATGCACTTCCACAGTTATTAATTGAGAGCTTTCGATACCTGTACCATTTTTGTATTGGTATAATTGTGTGGCAAGTACAATCATACTCTATGGCCAGGGAAGTCGAGAAATTTTCCAACCCAAAAAATTCCTAGACCAGACCGGGAAATCAAACCCAACCACCATGCACAATGCATGGTCTTGCATTGTAGCTGTGTCTACAATGTGCAGACTCCTTCAGTGTCTTATACTAATACTCGACTGAAGAAACTATAGCAACTTACCGAATATAGAGTTGGAAAGAAATGCTATACTAATATCAAATTGAAGCTTTTGTACGATAATGTATAAGGTAGAGAAAGTTCTATAAGTAGATGAAAGATTTATATTTCCGTTGGAGCATGGCCATGTGAAAATTGAACAGAAGTTGAAATTGAGCGAAAGGGGACAATACTAATCAAAGCCACATTCCTTTACATAGCTCACTTGATGGGTGAGGGGTTTTGAGATATTTCCTCACATCCTCAAGCAAAAGAGTGTGCGTTTGACTTGCTCATTTACTGTCTTTGGTTGTGGAATAGTTCTAGAGACGCATATCACTACAATTATTGTTTGTTTCTCTCGTCATGACCAACGTACCCAAGCCGGGTTACTTCCACTCACTTGCTATAAAAAAATGTTTTTCGGAATTATGAAATCATGATATAGTATAATGTTAATTAGTACTTTTAAGTTACAAGAAGAGGTCATGAAGTATATGTTTGACACATAAAATCTGTCAATATTGCTTGCAGTGCGTCACAATCAGCGATTTTACGACTCGTGAGCGCTCACTCTGAGTGAACGGTCACGAATCATAAATTATTGCATTATTGCATCTAATGATTGCATAATTCCGAATAATATTTTTATAGCAAGTGAGTGGAAGTAACCTTGTACCTAAGTAACCAAAAGTTCCGTATTCAACGATAAAACTCACTTCCAAGTTCCATAAAGTTCGAATAAAGTTATGACAGAACTTTCAAGTTCGATAAAGTTTGAATAAAGGTCCAACAGTTCCATAAAGTTCAAATAAAGTACTGAAGAAGTTCCCAGCGGAGCTTCTTAGCAACTTTAAAGTATCTTAAAAGTTCCCTGCGCAACTTCTCAGCAACTTGAAAGATTCTTAAAAGGCCGACATAGCCCACATGAAGTAATCCGTACAAGTCCTTATGAGTGAAAAAATTAATGTACATAAATATGAAATGATCAGTTGACCAAACAAATCATAATTCCTAAATATATGCAGTGCATCAATATTCTATCCAAACATAAAACAAATAAAGAGCAATATCCTGGATTCGAACCCGTGTATTCGGGCATGCGATATACGTACGCTAACCTCTGCCCCACAAGTGTGCTGGAATAACAGGCGGGAAAACACCAATTTAAAATTCATCAAGGTTTCGTATACAAGTCTGTCAGCTGGCACTGAAAACTCCAACAGTAGGCGGGACAACAGCTCACTTCAATATCTCAGATAATTTAGCGGCTCGTGCTGGAGCCCTCACGCAGAAGCACTGGATTTAAATCGTCAAACATCCCAATACAACTACTAATGCTGATAAATCAATATACGTTCAAACCCGCATTAAGAAATAACTTTCATTAAGGTCTGACTTTAAGATCTTACTTTCACAAAAGATTGAACTAAATATAAAATTGGTGTAGCGGGCAAAAACCTTTTTTTAACTTATCTTCTAAAATTTTCGTTCAAGTTCTACCAGAAGCTGCTTAGAACGCTCTTCAATTATGGTACCGGAACCAGAGCTGGTGAATATCACGGCCATCATGTGACAATGAGAAAACAGGTCCTCTCACTATCACGAGACGAAACTAGCTATCATTAGCTTTCTTGCCATTTTCCAATGATCAAGCACTCATGAGAATAATTCTTATGTGGTTTTAACATCAACATTTCTAACTAATTTAGATGAATTTAAGTAAGCAACGGTATGTAATCGGTAGAAAGACTATATTATTAAGATTCCGTCGGTACAAGTAACTTTAATAGCTCTAAAGAGCTAGTAATTACGATGATCACAACACTGTCGCGTTCTGTCATGACAAAAAATTCGATGAGGTTTAGAAGAAAATCTATATAATCGTTTTCTCATCCGATTATAGTGATAGAAGTGTTTCTGTAAATATCGCGTGAGATCTTTCATTGAAAATGACATTTGCCAGCCCTGACCGGACCTTTCAAGTTCTTATAACGACTTAAAAATGAGGCTGCTTAGAATTCTATAGACCACCTTCAACCAAGCTGCTTAAGCCGCAAATAACCTCTTATTAGAACTTTTGGTTACTTGGGTAATCATCTCAAAGAGAAGCAGTAGGGTGGTGTTGCGTATTGAGTAAAGTTGAATCTCGTTGTTTGTTGATCTCGAGCAGTGCGCAAAACAGTCAGGTTCATTGAGTTATTTTGATATGAATATGAACTGCCATCTGCCTCATCATTCACTGCCTCGTGAGAGTCTGAATGATTCAGCGGTAAACGAGTCACTGACAGCCGAGCACTCAGTCAGTAGCTCAGTCAATACGTTTATTCTGCCGTGATGGTACCCAATATTTGTTTTGAATGACTGAGCGTACATTTTCTATGGAAAAATGACTTAATTACATGCTGTGTGAGCGAAGGCAAGCGGTGTGCGTTGCCTGTTCGTGAGTGACTGAATGTTTTTGTTGGCTCTTTCATTGCCTTGTTCTTTACCGTTTGGTACAAACGGTCTGCAGACTCTGCACAGAACAATGGATTGAATAGTGCAGTGCTTTCACACTCAGCTTAGGCAGTCAATAATTTTAAGCTCTGATCTCGAGGCTCTCTGAAACATCCGATTTCAATGGTGTATATACGGTTCGTAAAATCGTGATGTCCTCCGTCGTCAGTTGGTTGTCCTCGATGAAGATGTGTGTTAGACCTTCTTCCTCTTGCTTTTTGACCTAATTACTAATTCTTCTCTCTTTCTTCATAGTTACTTATTGTTTATCTATCTATCTATCTATACGTATCTATCTATATATCTATCTATTTTTTCAATCTGTTTATTTGTAAGGCTCATATTTCTAAAAAGACTCAACGGAGCCAAGTATCATAAAAAAAAACAATTCAAATATTTTTGTCTCGTTCATTTTGCTGCGCTAGGTACAAAGCATCCACTTTCTGTTTGTAATCCTCGATCAAAGCACGTTTCTGCTGTTCATCTTCAATCCACTCAAACGAAGGGATCTTGTATGGTCGCTGCGTGTAGGGACAAATGTAACTCACGGTGGTCAGGCTGCAATCACTATCACTGGAAGTTGGTTCGTTCGTGTTAACTTTTTTCGTATGGTTGCTTGTTGTTTCCGATTCAACGGACCTTTGTCGCTTGTTCATCACTGCTCTATTGTTTATGTGTAGATCTGCATCAGTTGCCGGTTTAGGAAG